AAATTGAATTGAAAATAAAGTCGGTCAAGTCTCGTAACGCGTAACGGAAAGATCTTAGGTGGACGGAGGGAGTATTTTGGACAAACGGAGTTGTAAGTCCATAATCAGCGGGTGGCTACAGGACCTCAACTTCCACTAATGCCACAACAACACCCATTTTGTTTGACGAGACAAACCATGAGATTATGGTCATCGCTGCTTCTCCGGCAAAGTATATTCTCGAAATGCCTCTATAATTAAGTATTTTTCTTAATTGATAATTTTTTTAAATATTTGTTTCGAATTGAAGTCCATGAGCCAAATTGGGATGGATCCCTTCTTCTAGAGTTCTAGTAGCTTCCACTTAATTTAAAAAAAAATCATTTTGAAGACTTATTCATAGTTTAGATAATAAAGGATATCAAAACACCATCTATATAACTGTAATTTAATATGGAGTAGGTATTTTTTTTATAAAAGATTATTTAGGAAACGGATCTCAATTATAAAGAAAAACTTAGTAATCTTTATTTCTACACAAAGTTTCAAATAAAATATTTCAAAACATATGGTGTAGATTTTATTTCTTCATATCTATTTTTATTCAGTATATGAACTTATTATTATATGGGGTGCATGAAATTACGGAGTAATTTTTACAAGGACATTTAGCTACTCCGATGGGATCCGTGAAATTAATTTTAACAAAGACATTTACCTACATCCTTATTTGAAATTACCCCCCATATGTAGGGGCCTGGGACCGATGGTCCGCCCCTTGACAGGCCCAGTTCCTCCTCCATGATGAAACTTAGAGATTCGAGCCGAAGCCCGGCATTAAATTTTGTCCCACAAGCCCATGTGAGGCATTTGTCCTTCTGACTCCGTATTTGGGTCCAAAGACCTGCCTTCTGAAACTGACGTTTTCGGTACCAAATGGGTAGACCTGGCAAAAAATGACTTAACCTGTTTTTGACCCGAAACCCGACCTGAAAACACTGGGTTTTGAACAAAAGTTTTGATAACCCAACCCGAAGTTGACCGAAGCCGAAATGTCCCGCTAAAATTGGGTCAAACCGGACCGAACCCGAACCCGACCTGACCGACCCGCAAAAGTAAGAATTTTTCAAAGTCATACACTTTACTACTCATTTTTAGTGTATAAATTTATATTTTCAGACAAAATTTTAATGATATTGCATAATTATCTTACTTTTTTTCTTAAAATTAAACATTTTTTTATTTCCTTATATTAATTTATATATCTAAAAATAACTTTAGAATTTAAAATAAAATCATCTAATAGATTTAATACTATTTTTTAAATTTTAAATGTATTAAATAAAAAATGTAAGTGTTAATGTGAATTTAAAAATTTAAAAAACCAAAGTCATAACCCGTTGGGTCGACCCGAATCCGATGACAGTGGGTCATGAACATACAGTTCTCAACCCGAACCCGAAATAACCCGAACTTGAAGTGACCTGGTAGTGTGTAGGGGCGGTTCTTGTTTTAAATCGGTTCGGAATTTTTTATATAAATTTTTTGGTAAAAAAAATTGTATAACTGACTCCAAACTCTTTTCTTGTTGTAATAAACTAGATTTTAACCCGTGTGATGCACGGCAAGAATATTTTTTGTATAATATAAGGTACGTTAATACCATGTACAACATTACTAAATTCAAGATATATAACTCTACCTTAGTATTGATGATTGCAATATTTTTCAATTCATCAAATAGCGGTGCTTGATACAAATAAAATACCGAGTAAGAAAGAGTAACAAATTCTAAAAAACTTCTTTATTCACAAAATTCCAAGTGTGGCCCAATCCGACTCTAAGTGACCCGTCATTTAAATCTCACTTTTTCGTGCAACATGCAAAACAAAACTTATTATATTACTCCGTATGGGAAAAAAAAGAAAGCAGTAAATCACGTCTTCTTCATACCCGTAAATAATTTGGCCTCATCCTCCCCAAGAGGCCAACATCAGGCCAACATCCAAAAAAGTGTCTATTAACAACACTATAGGATACCCTTAATTTAGAAAGAGACTCAAAACCTTTTCACATTAAGGATAATAAAGTACAACAATCAATCCTTGTTTCTTGGTGAAATCCACGCCTTGTTTATTATTATATTGCTTTTTTGTTGATGAAACTCAAGCCTTGTTTCTAACATAAATATGAGTACATTCTTGATAAAAATAATTATCCTTGTATATTTTTCTCAAGAAAAAATATTAAAAAATGAGTTAGATTTTTAATTACCAAGAAAAGAATGAAATTGATCTCATGATGAGAACTGGGTACATATAACAATGCAACATTAACCTAAAAAGACCAATTCAAACATTAAACCTACAAATATCAATCATGGAAAGTGTTCGTGAGCAGTATATATATGCTCCAAGAGCGAAGTAAAAACATTTAATGTTCAAATTTGCGCGTATAATTACCATCACGAAATCATTTTTTGTTGATAGAAAATGAATGAATCCCATTTGAACTTAACTTAAATCCCAACTTTTCGTTTAACAAAGAGAATAACAAAATATAACTATAAGTTTATAACAACAAAATTTACAACGCAAAATAGTATTGGAGTATAAACTTTAAGTAGGATCTACTTTGGCGTCAAAAATTTGTGAGAGACCTATTCATTCACTTCTAAAGCTCTAAACCAAAAATAAGCTACAGATTACCTTTAGGGGAAGAAGAAGATGATATAGAAATGGAAAGGATGCATAAATTTTAGTGGGATTTTTGATTTTTGAACAGATTTGAAAATGGAGTAGAGACGGTAGAGTGAAAGTACGGTTGGTGATAAAGGGATCAAGAGTAAAACATTAAAATTTTAGACTATCCAGTTAAACGTAAATATGAATGTTGAAGAAAATATTTATATTATATGAACAAAATACACCAACCAAGGAAGATCAAAATCTGAACATTTGTTTCCCTCAAAGCACAATGACTTTCTTTTATTTGTTAATTATTGTAACTATCCTGCCAAACGTGTAATCTTCTTCATCCCTGCAATGCTTAAATAAACTAATAATTCTCCAATGTTGCAAAGTGGGTTGACTTTGTGTGTTCAATGGCTGCACTTTGAAGTTTAATTTTTACTTCGTCATCTTAATTGTTTTACCAATTTTGGAGCATGTCTTTTAAGTCTCAATGGTTAATTACATCCATCGTCAGAGAGATATACTACGTACGAGGGCAAGTATAGTTAAGGAAATTAAATAAGAATATGTAAGCGAGTACACAGTTTCCTCATCTGTTAACAACAGAATCTATCTTATGTACGTTCTTTCAGAAATGATTGAATCTGACCCTTTAAACAGCACACTCATTTGGCAAAAATAAAGCATCACCTGATATATATATATATATATATATATATATATATATATATATATATATATATATAAGTAATGAATATCTAAGAAGAACTAAGATGGATCCATACAATATATACTAAATAAAACAAATCTAAGATGTATGTCATGAAGTCCACATCCCACTTAAAATGCATAAATCAATTGTAGGGAAAATTAAATATTCTGAAACATAATAGTCGTGAGTTTCAAATCTATAAGTATTATTATAACAGAACTCAAAGAAAAACATGATTTTGACACAATAGCATACCACTCATCCGAAGTGGAGTTTGAAATCAGCTAGCTCCCAGTATTTAAAATCGGCAACATCAAGCCGTTTTAGAGTAGTAATGTTTTTCCAGATATTTCATATCTGAAGATATCAATTCTGAATCTCTGTTTAAATTCACCAAACACATTTTCAAAATTCATATTCGTTTTCTTCCCTACCTATTTGCATCATCACCCCTTTATCATTGTCCTCTTCCTTTTGGCGGTAGCGATCTGGCCTAGGCTCGGAGCATCAAGCATGAGTAGTGCATGACACCTCGCGCGCCCTTGCACCTGTCGGGGTAGGCGTTGAAGACCTCGACAGTTTGGGATTTGGTGCCCTAGTCAAAACGGCATGAGAACCAAGTTGTCCCCCAAAAGTTGACCCGGAATTGGATCTGACGTAGCTCGTTCTCCTTCATCGTCCAAAGTCCGAGATCGTCGTCTGCCGATTGGCAATGCACGACGAGCAATGGTTTTGAAGGCTGGATCGGATTGTTGTTCGGGATCTTATCCCGAATCCGTACCACCTTAATTTTGTTTGCGCTTGCGGCATGTCCTTGCTGCGCCATTGTTGTGCAACCATGATGGTGATTAGTAAGACTTTGACAAATGGGGAGATTGATCCTGAAGAAAACATCATCTTTGTATCAAATTCAATAACCTTTACAACGAGCTGAGGATAAGTGACAATATTAGAGGTCCCCAATCACATGCTTATTCCTATTTTCTACTCCCTCCGTTTCTTAAAATCTTCCCTCTTTCATTTTTTTTGTTTTTCTTGAAAACTTCCACTTTCTATTAAACAACCACTTTTATCCCTACTTTTTCATACCCTACCTATCACATCATACTTTTTTACTATCAATTAAACTATCACATCTTACTTTTACCCATTACATCAAGGGCAAAATTGGAAAGTCAACTACAATTTAACACTTCCTTATTTTTCCCCAAAGTCAAAAGAGGAACCGCTTTGAGAAACGGAGGGAGTATCAATTTGTGCACAAGGTTTTATATACTCCCTCCGTTTCTCAAAACGGTTCCGGTTTTGACTTTGGAGAAAAATAAAGAAAGTGTAATTCTAGTTGACTTTCCAATTTTGCCCCTGATGTGACGGGTAAAAGTAAGATGTGATAGTTTAGTTATTAGTGAAAAAGTATGATGTGATAGGTAAATTATGAAAATGTAAGTGTAAAAGTGGTTTTTTAATATAAAAGTGAACTGTTCTAAGAAAAACAAAAAAAATGAAAGAGGAAATGTTATATATCGGGGGATATTATATATCGGGGCACTCGTCTAGTTAGGTTGACACCGTAACCGAAATAATTGCAGACACCATTGCCGCCCATATATAATATACTCCGTATAAAACCTTTATTACAGTATTTTATAACAGAACACCACACACAAGAAAAGTACATTTATTACAGTATTTTATTTCATTTATATTCGATATGTTTTGGCACAAGAACTAGAAGTAGGACACATGCATACATACACAAACACTTTATCATATGCATAAACTTGGTAGCTAAGCTAGTGCTCAACACATGACGTCTTTGAGCAGCTTGTAACGGCGGGTGCCGGCAGTGCGCGGCGAGGGGGCCCCACCGGTGGGGTTCTTGGACGCTGACGGCCTTTCGTAGTCTTTGTCGTTGTCGTGGTTTTTTATTTTGTTGCCGGAGAACTCCGACCGTTTTGTGCCGGGGTTGGTGCCGGCGGCGGCCATTTTCCGGGAAGAGCCGCCGGAGGTGCGTTGCTCGCATTGGCACCAATCACATACTTGAATTGGCTCCGTGTATTCGCTGTAGTAGCTGCTACAGTACCTTCAATAGAATAATATATAATCCATGAATTAATTTATGTGAAATTTGCACTAAAAACATAACGACGTTCCTAATGTAGGACTTAAACTTTTTTATTCTCTAAATAGGACTTAATAATAACTGTGTGGAAGGAATAATATCCAGTACTGATGGACATTTAGTTGAATAATGACTACTTGATAATGACCAAAGGTCCTACATTGAGAAATAAAAATATATAGTCCCATATTAGAAAAGTCATTATGTTTTAGTCCTATTTAGGTAAATTTTTCTTAATTTATTACTCTTTTGTTTTTTAAACCCTTCCTTTTTCAATTTTTTCTATCATACTCTCCCATTTTTCTATTAACAAACCACTTTCGATATTTTTTTTCTTATCTTATCAATCATATTATATTTTTAATCATTATATCAAGGACAAAATTGAAAAATCAACAAAAAAATATACATTCCTTAGTTTATTTAAAAATCAAAATAATTTTTTTTATGAAACGTATGGAGTAATAGAGTAATTAACAACTAAATATTATCTCAATCAAATTAAAGGAAAGAAATGAAATGATAAAACAATTAATATCTGCATTTAAAACTGATGATTTTGTCTAGTCGGTCGAAATATATTTTAATATAAACTAGAGCAGCTGACATAAAATTAAATAAATAATAAATATAAATAATACTACGTATAAAAACAAAAGGCGTTACGTTCCAATTCAATTACTTCGTAATAATTAATGCATTATCATATCCTTAATCCATTAATTCTTTTTGAAAAAAAAATCGTCATTATCTTTAATTGTTCAACCACTTGAAACAGATAAATACCCTTTCTTAGCGTCCTGGTGGAAAACAAATTGAACTCTCAATACACATAAAGATAAAAGATTCATATAGATTTATTCTTCATATTGTTTATGTTTTAATTGTTAATAACATGATAATTATGTATACATTACTACTCCCTCCGTCCAAAAAAACAATCATTTTTTAATTTTGCGCATTTCATAAAACACTTTTATATAATCTCAAACGCCAAAAAACTTTCAAAATCACTTCTACCCACAATAAAATAATTTTTAGCATTTTAAATGTAGGTAGAAATGTTTTTAGGATGCGCAAAAAAATGACACGTAATCTTTTTTGGAACGAAATGAGTATATTTTAATTTTGTGGATTAAGATTAATTAATTACTAATTGAACAATAATGATGGTCGTCTTGTATTATTATATGGAAAATGGTAGTGTTATTACCGTTATGTGGGATTCGAATCTCGGCAACATAAAAAAAAGGATTATATTATGGTAACATATTTTTTCAAATGTAACTGTTGAATTAATATGAATTAATGGATTTTACTTAAGCAATAGAGGTGAATACATGTGAGTATATATAGCTAGAGATCCTAACACAATTAGGATTAGGATTCCTCTAATATGGTAACTAACTATAATACAATTCTACTATAACTAGGAATATTATTATAGTGTCTAACATCCCCCCTCAAGCTGAACGCCGTGAAACGAGTGGAAGCTTGGAAACCAAAAGAGTATAGCGTGGGGTCGGCCAGCTGCTCTGCAGACGGAACATGCGACACAGTCATTTGTTCTGCAATGACCTGTTCCCGCACAAAATGGCAATCGGTACCCACATGCTTCATGCGTTTGTGAAAAACTGGATTCTTGGTTAAACAGATAGCAGACTGATTGTCACAATAGAGATGTGGTGGAGGGAGCTTGAGCTTCAGAATGTCAAAGAGATAGGAGAGCCACATCACCTCAGCAGCAGCAGCCGAGAGAGCCCGGTACTCGGCCTCGGTTGACGATCGGGATACACGACTTTGTTTCTCTGTGCTCCAGGAGATGAGATTCAAACCAAAATAAACCAAGTAACCTGTAATAGAGCGGCCATCCGTCATATCATTTGCCCAATCAGAATCAGAATAGGCTTGCAGCATCTGCGATCCCTTCCGAAAGATTAATCCCCGATCAATTGTGCCTTTGACATAGCGTAGGATACGGGTCAACGACTGGAAATCCCGTTCTGTAGGAGCATGCATCGCTGACAGACATGATTTACCGCAAACTGAATGTCTGGCCTGGTATTAGTCAAA